AATAATTCAAACAGATAATAAATGAAATTGAATTGAATTTATATTTCAAAAATTGTTTTTAAAAAAGTTAAAAATACTATGCAATTTTAAGAACTTTTTATTTTAGTTTTTTAAAAACAAATTATTAGAAATATTTTCGCTTATATATTTTCCATAATTAACGAAATGACTTTAAAAATTACCGTGAAAAGTTACAGTTACAGTTCTTATAAAAAATTGAGTTTTTATATTTAATTTAAATAATTAAATTCTCGATAAACTTTCTCAAAATTATAAAAAATAATTGATTCAGAGAAGAATTTTAGAATTGTAGAAAATAATTGAATTTTAGGGAAATTACAAATTATAATAATTAATCAACAGTTAATTTATTACAATTTTTAAAAATAGTTTAATTTTTATCAATTTAATAAATTTTGTTTTTAAAAAAAATTTGATTACAATTTTTAAAAGTAATCGTAGCTTTTGAAAAGAAAATGTTAAAAAGTGTTAAAAACTTGTTTGAAAACAATTGAATTTTACAATATTATTTAATTTAAAAAATTTGTCAAGTACAGAGTTAAAATAAAATAAATAAAATAAGTAAAAATTTAATAAAATTGTTTTATTCAAATAAATATTGATTTAACTTAAAACATTTTTTCGAGTCAAAAATTTTTTTGAATAACAATGATTTTTTTAGTATTTTCAACCTAAAAACTATGTTTTTTTCAAAAAAAGTTTCAAAAATAATAAAAATCAATTTTTTATTCGTGAATTTTTTTGTGAATAGAGAAACATATTTTCTAGAAAATTACTAATGGACTTTAAAATCTATCAATTTTTAAGAAAAATAAAAATTCAAAAAGGGTTAGAATCTCTTCTAATCGATTTTATATTCTGACCATTGATTTCCTCTCTAAAAATAACTATAAAAATAATTTTATGGAAGATTTAAATCATTTTCTTGATATAGTTGAAAATATAGTCGCAGGCTCCCCTTAAAAAAAATTGTTCGATTCAAGTAAATATTTTTTTGATAATAGACAATTAATTGCTTATTTTGAATCAAATCAATTTTTTATTCATAGTAGTGTAAATAGTTAACTTTTATTATTAGTTACAAAAAGGGAAAAAATCATTTTGTCAAAAGTTGATGCACATATTATTTCGTGTGAAATGAAAGTGAAATGAATCAAGAATGTAAATGTAATCATGACTTTCTATATGAGGCTTCGTGAAAATGATGGAAACGATTACAAATTGCGATTTGTATTTTAGCTATACATATATATAAGAAGCGAAAAGAGCGAAATGTTATCGGCATCAAACTCAATTATCTATGGCTGTTCGACAAACTAATAAAACACAATCTCGACACAATTCTTTTGTATTATTATCATCATCATGATGCATTGTTTTCCTCAGCTATATTTTCGCGAGTTGTTTATCCTTTTCTTTCTTCTTTTTTTCTATTCCTACTCATCCACAGAGCAAATATTTGCATTTCTAATGTACAAAAATTCCTCTAAATTTGCCCTCAATTGAATTTTTATTCTAAATTTAAAAAAAATTTATTTTCTTTCAACCGCGAAAGGAAATGGATTAATTAGATGAAATGAAAGAAAAAATTATTCATGGTCAGTTAATTTTTCAATTTAGTTGAGTATTCATCAACGCCTTTTGATATTAATTTGTATACGCATTCATGAAGAGAGTTAATAACCTTCTCTTATTTTTGAACTCAGAGGTAAAAAAAAAATTCTTGCTGTAAAAAAAAATTGACAAACAAAATTTAAAAAAGAGAAGATAAAAAATATTAAAAAAAAAAGATAAAAAGACAAAATTTAAAAAGCATTGGAAAAAAATGAATTGAATAAACTTCAATTTTTAATTGTTGTGAGAAGAAAGAGAAAGAATTCTCTCTCGTTACAAAAGGGAGTGAAGAAAGAATGTGATAAAATCTTGTCAACTCACACATTTTTCACGAAATGGAAAAAAAAGTTGGAGAGAAATTTAAAAATTAAGTTGAAAAATTGTCTTTTGTGAAAATAATATAAAGAGGTAGTAAAAAATTGAAGACAGGCAAAGAAAAAGTGGATTGTAAACGTTGCGAATTTCTGGAACAACATAAGAGGTCCTGAAGGCAATAGAAAAAAAAGAAGTTCGTGATGCTTCAACAACGACCTATAGAAAATTTTATATTTACTGTAAGAGTTACGCACGAGAAATGAATTTGCATATTAGAAAAAAAACTATTGTAGAGGAATAAAAATTTATTTTCCTATTTTTTATTTTACTTTTATACAGATAATATTTTTTTTATTACAATTTATTCGACTTTTTTTGCTTTTGAATTTTTTTTAGTTTATTAATTTTATTTTGCTTTCGTACTCTTTTCCTTTATTCAGTTTTTTTTTGCTTTTATGGTATTTTTTCTACTTTACTTAGTACTGCTTTTTTAATTTTTCATACTTTTTTTTAGTTTATTTAATTTTTTTTCCTTTGGTTCTTCTATTTAGTATTTTTTTTACTTTATTTAGTTTTTTTTTAGTATTTTTTAAAATTTTATTTAGTATTTTTTTACTTCATTCTGTAATTTTTTCACTTTATATAATTTTATTTGCTTTGGTATTTTTTTGTATTTTATTTAGCATTGTTCTTAAATTTATTTCATATTTTTTATATATTTGCTTTTTATATTAAAAAAAATACTAAATCAAAGAAATCTAACTAAAAAAAACTAATTAAGACTAAAACAGAATAAATAAGTTAAAGAATACTAAATACAATAAAAAATATCAGAAAAAAAGTAAATAATTTATTAGGTTTTATTGCTCTGGTATTTTTTCTATTTTATTAAGTATTTTTGTAACTTTATTTAGTATTTAATTTTTATTTAGTGTTTTTGCTTTAGTATTTATTTTATTTAATTTAAATTTTTTTGTTTTGATACTTTTTGTATTTTATTTAGTTTTTTACCTTATTTAGTACTATTTATCTTTATTTGCAGTTTAATTCCTTTATATTTTTTACTTTTAAAAAAATACTAAAGCAAAAAACTCAAGTAAAGTAAAAAAAAATAATAAAACAAAAAATACTAAATGAGTAAAAGAATACTAAATAAAATTTAAAAAAATACCAAAACAAAAAAAAAAGTAATAAAGTACTTAAAGTCAAAAAAATATTAAAAATATTGAAGTAAAAAGTACTAAATAAAGTAAAAAAAAATATACTAAAGTAAAAAATTAAATAAAGCAAAACAAATGCTGAAGCTATAAAACTGTTTGAAGTTAAAAGATACAAAAACAAAAAAGGACAAATAAAAAAAATTATCAGGCAAAGGAAAAACTAAATAAATTTAAAAAAAACTAAAGCAAAAAAAAATTATTTAGTTTATTTTGGCTTTTAAGTTTTTTGTATTTTATTCAGTTTTTTTTACTTTAGTATTTTTCCACTTTATTATTTATTTTTATTTATTATTTTTTTCTTCTAGTCAATTTTTGCTGTTTATTCGATTTTTAATGATTTTTCTCGAATTCTTCTTCTACTTTCTTCTTTTTTTCTTCTCACAACGTTTGCAGAGTGCAAAAAAAAATTTAAAAATGAGGAAACTGATATTAAATTTTCTAGGATCCACTTTCGCCTCTAGGATAATTTGTATCACTTTATATCTCTCATACACTGATGGATCATATATCTTTATGCCTCGTTTATCTCGTCTAATTCGAAAAATACACGGTGAAAGGACTAAAACACTCCTTCAAAAGCTTAGAATTTGTTTTGATTAATGTTACAAAGAGGATGTTAAAAGAATTTTTATCAAGAGTAGGTGTAATCTAGTGAAATATCGAATTATCTCAAATACATATACATATATACACAGATATTGTGCCTGTGCGTGTATTTAAATAAAAGTAACTAAAAAACAAAAAAAAAATGAAAGTAAAAGCAAATAAATCATTTTTGACAAATATCTGACACTTAATTTCTACTGATGATTCTTCAATTTTTGCAATATTAATCTATACACCCAGAGAAGAATTCTATTTATACCAAATATAATTTATTCCAGTTGAACGCACACATAAATTGAACAAATACTTTTTATTTGTTTCAAACATATTTTATTTGGTTTAAATAAAATTTTATATGGTTCATATTTGTGTCAAATACAATTTTTATTTGACACAATTATTTTTATTTTATTTGGTCCAAATAAATGTTTTATTTGTGTTGAATAAAATTTTTATTTAAACAAAAATAAAAATTTTATTCGACATAGTAATAGAATCTTTATTTGAACCAAATTAAATTTTACTGAAACCAAATAAAATACGTTTAAAACAAATAAACAGCCAGAGCCAAATGGACTTTTCTATTTGGCACTGGGTTAAATATATCTTTTTTTAAAATTTAAACTATAAAGAAAATTGGTTTAATTTTTTTTACAGTTAGTAAAATATTTCGTGAATATTCGTATTAAATTCTGTCCAAATTTAATTGGACTGTATATAATTATGTCAGGATAAAAATGTGCGTCTAAGATCTTGTAGAATATAATCCATGGACCAAAACTGGTTTCCTTAATAGACGGATAAAAAAAATATTTACCCTCTAAATTACAATTTTTTTTCCTTATTTGTATTTAGATAATAATAAGTGAGCTTTTCAATTATTTTAGAGCATTAAAAGTGGTATTAGTAGTAAATTGGAGATTATATTTTTTTCCACATATATAAATAATGTAATAAAAAAAATATTTGTTACAAATGTAAAAATCTTATACTGAGTAAAATATTGTAAGAGCGCTCTTTTGCCAAGCAACAGGTTTGATACCTTTTATCGGGGAAAAAAAAATTCAATTTTATTTCGTTATAGAAAAAAAAGATATGTCTATAAAACCCTCGGGTTTTTGCATATACAATTTCTATTCGTATTTATATAAAAATAAAGGTTGTAAGACCTGTTTTTGATGTCTCTTGTCTCTTATCCCCAAAGCGTCCTCTGAAAACCAGGAATATAAAAGTACCACAGTCTTTGTTCGATCCTTGTCCAAGGCAGACGGATTCAGAATACTTATTTTTGCAAAACAGGAGACAAGAATACAAAAAAGGTTAGAGAAAAATATCTAGCTCCTTGTTCTATTTTTGTTGAAGAAAAATTTTCTTTTCTTTTCTTTTCAATATAAGGAAAATTTTGATTTTTTCCAGAATTTAATTTTTAATTTCTCGAATTATATTGCAAAATGCAAAAATTTACAAGGAGATGAAAATTTTTTTGATTTGGGCAATCGATTACTTGTGTGTAGTATCAGAGAAATATTTACTTGAATCAAATAATTTTTGTTTACATCAAATGATTTAATATTTAAATCAAATAAATTGTATTTGAACTAATAATTTGATGAAAATATTTTTAATTTTAATAAAAATTATTTTGTTGATTTAAACGTTTTAAAACTTACAGAATCAATTGGAAGCTAAATTAAAAAATTTTTTTTCAAATTAAAAAAAAACCTTTTTATAATTAATGAATTAAATTTTTTTAAAACTCTTTTTAAAGTTTTTTATTCTTATTAGAATTTTCAATTTTTCCAAACAGAATGTTACTCCTTTGTCTCCTCCTCCTACTACCGCTAACGGCAAGGAGTGCAGAACAACAACAAAGTACTTACACTCTGGAATTAAAAAATGGCACCCTAGAGAGAGTGTTTTCCGGTCAAACGCCAATCATAAATCTCGATCTCTCCAATATGCAAATAAAATTCATCAAAAGAGAAGCATTTGACGATTTGAAAAATCTAAAGACTCTAATTTTACGAAATAATCTTCTCACATCATTGCCAGAATTTATTTTCTCAAATCTTTCAACCCTCGAGCATTTGTGCCTGGCTGAGAATAAAATTAATACACTCGATAATATTTTCGTTGGATTGGATAATCTCAAGGAATTGAATATATCATGCAATCCATTGAGACACTTGAGAAGGGGACAATTTTTTGGTCTACCGAATAATGTGAATATTTACACTCGTGGCAATATTTTTTGGAGTTTGAGTACAATGCTTTTTGAAAATCCATTTTTGAAGGAGAAGGACAATTTTGTGGAGATTGAGAAGGCAAGATTTGATGACGATTGGGAGGAGGATCAAATTGCCGAGGCTAGAAAATTGGATATTTTGGAGAGGGATATATTTTCGGGTACGAAGATGCACGTTTTTCCGAAGGAGACGCAACCTCAGCTTGATAGGAATGTTCGTGTTAAGCTCTGTATGGAGGAGGGAATTGTCATTAGTCTTGAGATTGTTGACAGGGAGGAGAAAATTCAGGCGAAATGTAGTGAGGTTAAGATTGACTATGAGGAACGGCAGGTGAGATTTTTTGGCGATTTTGGTTGATTTTTTATTGTTTCTTCTTCTCTTTCTTATTCTTCATCTTTTTCTGTATCTTCATCTTCTTTTAAAGAAGATTTTTTGGGGATTTTAGTAGATTTTTTATTGTTTCTTCTTCTTCTTTATCATCTTTTTACTTTAGTGTTTCTTCTTTTCACATAAGTTTTAGATTTTCCTATTTTAAAATTTCTATACATATACTGTACGTAGTCGATAGTTGTAGTCGTTAAGGCGCGTCATCGACTAGATTTTGAGATCAATGGTTCGATTCTCCCCGTAGGAAATTTTTTTTAATTTTTCTTCGATCACTACTTTCTTTATAATTTTTGACTTTAAATTCTTTTCTCGTATTTTCGAGTATCAATTTTAAGATTTGCGACTATTTGAAAGCCTTTTGACAATATTTCCATAAATTAAAATTCAGAATACTTTGAATTTATTTTTCAAATTAAGAAAAAATTAGAGAGCAATTGAATAACAAAATTTGGAACATCTTAAAAATAAAAATTACAAATTTTCGGAAATAATTGAATTCTTTACAGAAATTTTAACAAAATTGTTTTAAAATAAATTGAATTTTGTAAAAAGGATTTGTTAAAATTTTTAAAAATAATAAAATTAGAGAGAATTTTTTTAAAATTTGTAATTTTAAAATTGAATTGTTTCGAAGAGTTTTTTGAGATTTAAAAAAAAATTGAATTCTTACAAAAGAATTTTATCAAAATTTTAAAGATAGTTCAATTTCGCAATTATTGCGGATTGAATTCTTACGAAAAATTTTACAATTGCATTGAATATAATTTAATTCCTACGAAGAATTTTATTATTTATAAAAATAATTGAATTTCTGCTAACAATTTTATCAAACTTTTTGAATATAGGTAACTGAATTGTTACAAAGAATTTTATTAAAATTTTTAAAATACTTTAATCTTATCCAAAAATTTTTATGCAATTATTATGGAAATAATTGAATTCTTCTAATGAATTTTAACACAATCCTGAATAATAATTGAATTTTTTCAAGAAATTGAAAATTGGATTGAAAATAATTGAATTTTTATTCAAAAATTTCAAAAATAATTCAATTGGTACGAATTTATTGGAATTTTTTATTATAATTGAATTATTTTTAAAAGTTTTATTAAAAATTTTTGAAAATAATTGACAATTTTATGCCATTAAAAAATTTCAATTAAATTGTATTAAAATTGATTTAATTTCTACGAAGAATTTTATTCAAATTTTTGAAGATAATTAAACTCTTTTTTAGGAAGTCAATTAAAATTGCGCATTCAAAATAATTGAATTTTTATAAAGAATTTTATGGAAATTTTTGAAAATAATTGAATTCGTGTCAGAAATTTTAGTAAAATTGCATAAAAAATAATTAAATTCCTACGCAGAATTTTATTACAATTTATATAAATAATTGAATTCTTGCGAAGAAATTTAATAAAAATTTTTAATATAACTAAATTGATTTGAAAAATTTTATTAAAATTTTTTTAAATAATTGAGTTTTATCTAAAAAAAAATACTTAAAATTGCTATGGAAGTAATTGAGTTCTTATCAAGAAGTTTATCACAATTTTTAAAAATAATACCTAGAATTCTTTTTAGAAAATTTATTAAAAATTGAAAATAATTTAATTCCTACGAAGAATTTTATTATTTATGAAAATAATTGAGAATTCTTGCGAAAAATTTTATTAAAGCTTCTAAAAATAACTGAAGTGTTTCGAAGAATTTTCTTAAAATTTATAAAAATAATTTAATTCTTTCAAGAGATTTTACTAAAATATTATATTGAAAGTAATTAAATTCTTGCAAAGAATTTTATTTTAATTTTTAAATATAATTGAATTGTTTCAACGAATTTAATTAAAATAGTTTTGAAAATAATTCAGTTTTTATAAAGAATCTTACGAAAATTTTTTAAAATAAATAATTTAAATTTTTGAAGAAATTTTATTTAAATTGCATTGGAAATAATTAATTTTATGCTAAGAATTTTATTATCAATGAAAATAATTCAATTCTTGTTAAGAATTTTATTAATATTTTGGAAAATAATAATTGATGTTTTTAGTAGAATTTTATGGAAACTTTTGAAAATAATTAATTTTTTGCTGGAATTTCGCCTGTTTTTATTTGTTTCGTCTTCTATGTCTTTTTGTATTTTAGTATTTTTTCTTGCTCATAACTTTTTTGATTTTCCTATTTTTTAGTTTCTATATAATTTTTATTGTTAGCCGTGATCGTTGAGGCACATCAGCGACTAGATTTGTCGGTCAATGGTTCGATTCTCGCCAAGAAATTTTATTCATTCTTTCTCAATCACTACTTTCGATTTTAAATTCTTTTCTCGTCTTCTCAAGTTTCAATCTTTAAATTTTTAACTATTTTCAAATCTACTGCTAAAATATTTCCACAACTAAAACTCAAAATACTTGGAATTTATTACTGAAAATAAAATAAATAAAAAAAAGTGGAGAAAAAATTAGAAAATTTAATTTGGAACATCTTAAAAACAAAGATAATCCTCAATTTTATCAGGTAAATCTTCGCGGATTGGGAATTAAGGATTTCGATGAGGATTGGTACAGACTGCAGAAATTGCCGATCCATGGACTCGATCTATCGAACAATGAAATTCAAGAAATCTCGAAGGAGCTTCTAAACGATCTCCCCGGCGATTTGGCATACGTGAGCCTCGTGGAAAATAGAATAAGAAGATTAACAGGTCAAATAATCGACAACAGTCATCTAAAGGTCCTAAGTTTGAAGGACAATCTAATTGAAGAAATCGAGGACAAAACATTCGAAAATACAAGATTAAATGGTCTCTTTCTGAGTGGCAATCGTTTGGAGAATATTAATTTCATCAAAGATTTACCCACAACCCTCACCGAATTGGTAATCAATCGTAATCTCATTCAATCAATTCCCGATGGTATCTTCACTAGACTCATAAATCTCATGTATTTAAATTTAGCACGAAATAATATTCTCAATCTAAAATCGGACACATTCCGTGGATTAAAATCACTCCAAATTCTCATTTTAACGAGAAATTCATTGGCAAACATTGCTCCGGGTTCATTCAAGTATTTGAAAAATTTGAAAACCCTCTATCTTTATCACAATTCAATAGCAAAAATAGAAAATGGCGTCTTTGATAATTTGGAAAAATTACGTAATTTAAATCTTGCTTTCAATAAAATTGCAAAAATCACACCCGAAATGTTTGTGAAATTACCAAAATCATTGAATTTCCTTCATCTTGATTTTAATAAAATTGAAAGTCTTGAAAAAGGCAGTTTTATTGAAGTTCCAAGATTCTCGTTATCCTTGGATGGAAACAAGATAACGAACATTATGCCGGGCACTTTCGATTTGCCGAACCTTCAGGATCTTTATCTAAAAAATAATTCCCTTACGAGTTTAAAATCAGAATCTTACGAGGGTCTACCGAGATTGAAACGTCTTTGGCTATCGAATAATAAAATTAGTATTCTTGAAAAAGGTGCGGCACGCAGTTTATCGTTACTTTCAATTTTAGATATTTCCAAAAATCCCCTTCAGTGCTTGAAAAATGGTGCTTTATTTGGTCTACCAAAATCGAGAGCGAGTTTTGTTTATATCTCTGATAATTGTATTGATTTGATTCAAGGCGGTGTTTTCGATGATTATTCTAATTAAATAATATTTTTCTCTCTTGTTTGTGGAAAAAAGATAATCGCGAATGCTGACAATGATGAATGGAAAATATATTTTTTTTTTAAATGTGATATCACATGTGAAAAATAAAAACAATGTAGTAGAATAATAATTAAAAAACTTGTAAAATTGAAAATCTGTTGTAATAATTTTCGAATACCCTAAAGAATCATTAATTATTTTAGAATAATTAAATATTAGGAAGTAATTAAACTTTATTATAATTACCATACACCAGGCTTTGTACTAGATAATTAATTTTTAAAAAGTGTCAAAAAGTAGCTGAAAAAAAGTAGTAAAAAAGTCGCTATCGAAAAGTTAAATTTAACTACTGAATTTTTCATAATTTCTAAATTAAATTATATTAAAAAATAGAATCATTTTTTTAAAACAATAATATTTAAATACCTATTTATTTTTCCAATGGAATTAAAATACTTGAAATGATTTCAATGTAGAGCCTTCTTTAAATTTAAATATTTCTAAAAATTACAACTGCAATTCTTTCAAAATTCAATAATTTTTTTGTTGTAATTTTTTAATATAATCATACAAAACTTTAATGATTTTATTTTAAAATAAAAATTTAAATATTATTAGAGTTTTACAATAATTCAAATTTTCAAAGATTTCTTCGCAAGAATATTCAATTATTTTTACAAATATAATAAAATTCTTCTCAGTAATTCAATTATTTTCATAAATAATAAAATCATATCAATTATTTTTAATAAAAAATTGTACTGAAGATAATTGAATTCTTCTATAAAATTTTGAAAAATAAATGAATTTTATCAATAAATTTTGTTTAACACTTCAAATAATACAATTCCATCAAGAAATTGTAATCGAATTGAATTGAAATTAATTTAATACCATTTTTTTTTCATTTAATTCTATTTTATTACAATTTTTTAAAAATTCTAAATAATACCTAATAATAAATTATAAAATAATCTTTTGAAAAAGTTTACTAAAAATTGAAAATTATTTAATTCTTACGAAGTACGTACTTTTTATTTATGAAAATGAAAATAATTTAATTTATTGTGAAAAATTTGAAGCTTCTGAAAATCATTGAATTGTTTCGAAGAGTCTTATTAAAATTTTTTAAAATAATTAAATTCTTTCCAGACTTTTTACTAAAATTATATATTGAAAATAATTGAATTCTTTCAAAGAATTTTATTGACCTTTTTTTTAAATAATTGAATTCTATCCAAAAATTTTTTTGCAATTATTATAGAAATAATTGAATTCTTATAATGAATTTTAACACAATCCTAAATGATAATTGAATTTTTTCAAGAAATTGAAAATTGGATTGAAAATAATTGAAATTTTATTAAAAAAATTTCATCAAACACTTTTAAAATAATTCAATTGGTACGAATTTATTCGAATTTTTGATTATAATTGAATTATTTTTAAGAGTTTTATTAAAAAATTTTTAAAATCATTGAATTCTTACAAAAGTTTTTTATTTTATTTCATTTTTATCAATATTTTTGAAAATAAATTTATTTTCAAAAATATTAATAAAATTCTTTGCAATTGAATTATTTTTTTTAGATTTTGCTAAAAAACTTTTTTAAGAATTCAATTATTAATAACTATTTTAAAAATTAGTTGATATTGTTATGGAAATAATTGATAATTGTTATAAGAATTTTAACTCAATTTTTAAAAACAAGTGAATTCTGTCAATAAATTTTATCAAAATTTATTGAACACAACTAAATTGTTTCGAAGAATTTTATTAAAATTTTTAAAATAATTTAATTCTATCCAAAAATTTTGTTGCAATTATTATTGTTAAACATTGAATTCTTATACCTACTAAATTGTTTCGAAGAATTTTATTAAAATTTTTAAAATAATTTAATTCTATCCAAAAATTTTGTTGCAATTATTATTGTTAAACATTGAATTCTTATAATGAATTTTAACACAATCTTAAATAATAATTGAATTTTTTTAAGAAATTGAAAATTGGATTGAGAATAATTGAATTTTTATTCAAAAAATTTTATTTATTTATTTATTCATATAAACGGGCTTACAAAAGTAAAAATTGCCCTTTCGTACTTAGGTACTAAGTATAAGAAATATTATCAAAAATTTTAAAAATAATTCTTTTGGTACGAATTTATTAGAATTTTTAATTATAATCAAAAAAATTGTTTGTAACAATTATGAAGAGTTTTATTAAAAAATTTTGAAAATAATTAAACTCTTTTCTAGGAAGTCAATTAAAATTTTTAAATATGACTAAATTGATGGAAATTTTATTAGGATTGTTAAAAATTTTTAATTTTTGAATATAATTGAATTGTTTTAAGGAATGTATATTTTTTTTGGTAAATTTCAGTAAAATTGCATGATTGGGGGGGGGGGGGGGGGTTGTAAATTTCAAGAAAGTGCGTGTAACATAATTTATGATTGCTCTCCTAATTGTATTTAATCCACTTTTTTTATTAAACAAATAATAATCATGATGTTGTGATTAATCGATGAATTAATATTTTCGAAACTACATTTTATGTTCCGGAAGGACTGCGATTCGATTGATTATAGATAGAATAGCTCTCATGACGTAATCAGTAACATGTTTGGATGTGGTGAAGAGGAAAATCCTAGAGAGACCTTGTCATGTTCTCATCTTCTTTCTTATTTTATTTATTTATTTTTTTCTTCTTTTCTTTTTTTTTTGCTTCGTCTTTATAATCTACCACGAACACGATCTCGCCTCTCACGGATTACTCGACGTGACGATCATTACCAGATCGCGAACGCCTTTAAGTTCAGGACTCAAGAGGGATTCAGGATCAAACCTCTGGTGGAGGTCTTACGAGAAAGTCAAGGCCATTACACGCAGAAATTTTTCTAGGAAATTTTTGCTTTTTATTTTTTTTTTTTTGTTGCTTTTGCATTGCCTTCAACCTTTTTCGCTTTATATTCCTCACGTACACGTCAATCACGATAGGATGTTATACTATTAAATTCGTTCGAAATTGGAGAAAGTTCATGACTTCTTCGTCTGCCTTCTTTTCCTCTTCTTCTTTGTCGATAAATAATTGATTGAAAAATAGTTTATGAGTGTATCTATGGATTATATATATTTTATATATGAGGGAAAATCTTTCACGGTTGTTGGTGGTAATTATAAAAAAAAAAGAAGAAGAAGAAGGAATAAAATTTCTTCACTTTCGTTACGAGAGTAAATTGCGATCAATATTGAAGGGAAAAATTAATTTGGAGCACTTTAGAGACAGGAAGTTATATAAATGTGCAATAATTATGAGTTTATGATAAAACTGTCAAGTATTAAAGATGTAAAAGATAAATGTTAAATCAGTTTTATAGTCTGAATAAGAGCGTGATGAATTGTTCTTTTCTTCAAACTACTGTTAGTAGCGTAATTTACGCTCTGGAGTTTCAAGAGGAGATAATTAAAATCACATCTATCAAATTTTATAATTTCTTCTTTAAAGTTTATAAGAAACGGATTCGTCTACGAGAGGAAAAAAATTTTTTGCTTCAAGCACGTTCTCCGTCTGTTATTCTCTAACTCTTTAAATTTTCTTTAAATTTTCAAAAAAAAAATTTTCTGTGTCAAGCTTTTATTAAAACCTATTATTTACTACTTTTTTACGATTTGATACTATTTGAATACTTCTTTTGGATTTGTGACACTAAAAGCTACAATTTTCTATTATTGAGAGTTTTCAATACTTTAAATTCACTGGTAGTTGGAATAAAAAAATTATTCTCTAAAATTTAATTAAAATTCTTTCACAGGATTCAATTATTTTTTAATATCTAGTATTTTCATAAAAAATTTCACAAAAGAATTCAAATTTTAAAAAAAATTAAGAAAATTCTTTGCAAAATGCAAACATTTAATAATTTTTGTAAATAATAAAAATTTCACAATAATTCCATTATTTAAACCACAATTTTAATAAAATTTTTCGAAAAAAATCAATTGTTTACAAAGATTTTTATAAAACTCATCACAAGAATTCAATTATTTAAAAAAATTGAATAAAGTTCTTCGCAAGAATATTCAATTATTTTAAAAAATAATAAAATTCTTCGTAGTAATTCAATTATTTTCATAAATAATAAAATAATATAGGTACATTATTTTTAATACAATTTTTAATAAATATCACGAAAAATGCAATTATTCTTAAAAATTTTATTAAAATTCTTTATGAGAATTCAATTTTAAGAAACATTCAATTATTCAATAAACTATTTATTTTCATATTTAAATAATTAAATTCTTGTAGAATTTTTTAATAAAAATTGATTTAAAAATTTAAAAACTATTATTGTTCGAAAATTATTTTAAAATATTTTTAAAAAATTAATTGTAAGAATTTCTTTATAATAATTTTTTGAAAATATTATAACTTAATAACTTAAGAAAAAACTATGGAGAGTCACAATTATTATAAAAAATTTAGTTTATGTATTTAAATAATTGAATTCTAGAAGATTTTTTTGGAAAATTATTTAAATTAATTGAATCAGAGATGAAGAATCAATTTCAATTATTTTTAACACAAATTTAATCCAGTTCCTCGAAAAATGTAATTATTTCTTAAAAAATTTATTAAAATTCGTCGAAAGAATTCAATTATTTCCATAAATAGCAATATTCTTCAGATTTACTAAATTCTTTTGAATATTATTTTAACAAAAAATTCTTTACAAGAATTCAATTATTTTCATAAATTTCCATAAAATTCTAAAAAAAAACAATTCAATTAGTTTCAAAGTAATAAAATTCTTCGCAGAAATTCAATTATGTATAAAATCTTTAAAAATTCTTATCAAAATTTTAATTATCTTTATAAATAATAAAATTCTTCTTCGAAATTCAATTATTTGCAAATATTTTAATAAAATTCTTGTCAAAATTTCAATTATTCAAAAATTTTCCTCAATTCAATAATTTTTAATACGTTTAAAAAAAATCAATTACGTTTAAAATTTTTTTTAAATTCTCCTCAAAATTTCAAATATCTTTATAAATAATTAAATTGCTCTCCACAATTCAATTATTTTCCAAATTTTTAATTAAAATTATTAAAAAAAACATTATTTTCAAAAAAAAATTTAAAG